TGTGTGTGTGTGTGTGTGTGTGTGTGTGTGTGTGTGTGTGTGTGTGTGTGTGCGTGTGTGTGTGTTTGTCATGTGGTTCTTCTGCATGTTGAAACTTTTATCTGTTTCCACTAACCTTTTCAGAACCAACTTACCTAATAAGGGAAAAACCCTATACACCTATACAGGTTTAAAGCTATGTTGTGAAATGGGTTTTTGTTAAGCTTAGGGTAGGGATTTATGGTTAAGGTCAGGCTAAGTGTTTTGTGTGAGAACTGAGAACAGGAAATAATTTTGCTGACATATTATTTTTTTGTTTTGAGGCCTCCCTTTTTTACCACCAGGGGTCAGTACATACCATATAACCGCATAACAATGCTACAATACCTTTTACTTTAAAGCTCCTTACATAACACTCAAGTACTGCAAAAGACAAAAACAACAAAAGGACAGTCAACAAAAAAAGAAACCTAAAGATAACAATAATTACAGAAAACATGCATATCTTATAAGGTATATGAGGCAGGTTTCAAACTAAAGAAGGGAAAGAAGACAGAGAGATAAAAAGAGAGGGAAGAAATGCGAAGGTGGAGGAGCTGGGACAACAGAGGTGGGCAATGCTGTGGATGGCCTTCAGGAAGGAGGAGTAATTTAGTTGGATTCTGGGTTTGATTAGGACAAGTGAAATTGTTGTAGATATTTTTTTGAAGTTTAAGACAGAGCTAGGATGTTGTTCTATTTTATTAAAACATTTTTGTAAAACAGGAGTTGATTGTTAAGAAAAGGAGGGTATTGATGTTGCTTGTATTTTGCAGGTGATGTACAGCTGGGTATCATCTATCTAGCAGGAAAACTAGAAATACAAGTGATAAAACCCAGGAAAGGAGCCCTGTGGCACCCCAGAAGTGAAAGTAGAGGAGTGTGAAGGTTTTTGTTCGAATGAACTGAGAGTAGCCAGGTAAGTACCTATCTGTGATGTCAATAGATGGGGAGTGGGTGGAGTGGGGGTGGAGTGAGATGTTGTCAAAGGTCAAACTCAGATCATTGAAGATGAGGAGACCATAGTCACCTGCCAGAAGGAGGGTGTTGGTGATTCTAATTGGGGATGTTTTGTTGCCATGGCAGGGGCAAAAGCCTGGCCTGGAACTACTCATAATAGCTGTTGGTGGTTAGATAGGAGATAGGAGACAATTGTTTTTTTTAAGGATTCCCAAGATAAATGGAAGGTTGCATATGGGGAATATTAGGGTCAGAGCAAGTTATCTTGCAACTTTGAAAGGAGTGGGAGCAGGTCCAGTTGTCAGGGAGGAAACGAAAGACAGGACCTGAAAAGGACTGTGGAGAGGATGGAGGAGGCAGAGGATTTACAATCATGGAAAATAATTAGACCACCTATTCGTGTTCTGGAGGAGTATTACATGAAGAATACAATACCCTTGAGGTGGTGGTCACATGAAGAAAGGAAATAGGAAATGGCTGTTTAAGGGTCGGGGTGGGGGTGGAACAACAGTGTTGAGGTGCTGATGCATGATGAAATTTTTTTCATTGAAAAGGTGTCAAGTAGATTAAGTGGTCAATATAATAAAGATGGAGAGAAATACGTTTTGAAGGTTTGACTACCTTGACTATTGTTATTGTAAGCACAAAAAATGGTGTTCATGGCTCTGGAGCAGCTTGATAAACTTGAAGATATTAAACGGACAACCAACTATAGGGACAAGAAGAGCAACACGTGGAATAAAAGAAAAAAGCTATTGGGTTTCTTGCATGGAGCAGAAAAACAGGAGATTACATCAAAAAGCAACTTAAATACTACGAGAGAATGGAGAGGAAGGCAGGACAACTAGATGAAGGAAATTAGGTGAGATTGAACAACAGCTGGTGTGGACTAAGGCAGGGATCTAGCTAACTAGGAGGAACAAAGCAGACAGAAAACTTAGAAACCCAAGGAAAAGTCTAACAGAATTATCCAAATGTTATAAAGCATAAGTTCAAACAAAGAATGATTGACTAATGGACAACCTAAGAAAAACCAAAATTCTGGAGAACATAAACAACAAAAGAAAAAAACACAAATGTCTACATTAGTAAATGATGGTTCTGTGAATGTCCACCTAGGTGTTTAGCTTGCTTTTCCTTGAGGGCCCCCATTCTTCCTCACTGTCATGATTTTCTTAAGGGATCTGACCCACATGCAGTAAACCACTCAGAGAACCAGGGTAAATTTTGAACAGGTTTATTGATGAAACCAGCGGGGTAAGATTCAGGAAACACAGTGAACTAGTGAACCGGAACTGGAAGAGGGAAGTATCAGTGGTTAGTTCAGGATCCGTGGGAACTTTGAATGATGGCTTTAGAGAGACAGAGAATATGGGACTCACGTTAGTGGAGAAAAACTTTCCTCCCAAAATCCAGTCAGTGTGGGTTTTTCCAGAGGTTGATACTCGTTGGAGGGCGGACAGGTATACACTAAGTTGGACCCAGAGGAGCTATTGAGCGGACTTTCACTTGGGAATCCAGGAATCCAGGAGGAGTTGAACTGAGCTTGTGTAGGTTAATCCCCTGCTCAGTTTGAGACTCAAACAATCCTTCCAGGGGGAGAAGGCCAAACATCCAGCTTGCAGGAATGCTTCCTGCCGAACAGGGAAAGACAAAAACAGGTTAGGCTCAGCGAAAAACAAAGACTAAGTTAGACTCAGCAAAACTCAGCTTGGCTAGAGTACCCAAAACTGGCAAACCCTCTGGACCGAGGTAGTGACAGTCCATGGCTCAAATAGTCCTCAGTGATTAGTCAACCAGCCGCAGGTGTGTGAGAGGACCAACGAGGTCAGGGCGCTACCTGGTGGTGGAGGGAGAGAAGACACAAAAAACACAACCTACACAGCTGGATTCCTAACACTCATTTATACTAGGACCTGCAACTCAAGTTAATCTGGGGTATAGACCTGGAGAGGCTGATAAAGCAAGATATAAAATGCACGAAGAGATTGAGTAAAGAGTGCAGAATGTCATGAAAAGTAGCTACTAGGCCAGAGGTGGGCAATTCCAGTTCCTGAGGGCCTGTATCAAGCAATTTTTAGATGTGTCCGTGGTCCAACACACCTGAATCAAGTAATACGATTTTTAAGGGGACTCTGGAGAAGCTGACCGCATACTGAAGAGGTAATTCAGCCAATTGATTCTGGTGTTTTGGTCCCAGGACAAATCTAAAAGTTGCAGGATACCAGCCCTCAGAAATTGGAATTGTCCACCCCAGTACTGGGCTGTCTGATGTGGAGGAATGGTTTGGATATTTCTGTAAGTGAAAATGCAAGATTTGTCAATGGTGGAGGGAAATCCAATCTGGGAGCCAATGAGAGGAGAAAAGCATCACGAATAGGGGAACAGGCCATATGACATGTTGTCAGTAGTGATGCAGAGGAAGCAGATTAATTTCAAGGTGTGCCTTTTGACTTACAATGGAAAGTTTGAAAATGAATATAGCCAAGGGTGTCATAGCATTTGAAAGCTCCTTTGTCCGTGGATGGAAGGAGGAAGTTTCGAACAAGTGTAGCTAGATGAGAGTTGTTCCACAAGAGAAGAACTCTTTGTGTGGTTTAGGAGAACAGTAGACTTTGGCATTTCTGATCAGTAAGGAATGGGGCAGCAAGCAATGCTTTCCGTAGAACAGACTCAAAGAAGAGAAACTGAAACACTTGCCCACTTCTCACAGTAGATAATCATGTGCTGGCTATCTCTTTGTGGTCAACACCCCAACCAGAGATCTGAGGAGGACGGTGAGTAATGGACCAGATGGAGTTCATGGATGAGGACTATAAGTACGACATTCACTCATGATGAGATTATTTATAGTCCAACAATCTCTTTAGAAATATCCATGAAATAAAGCAGTATAATCTTTTAGTCATTCATATAAAGTAAACCACATTCACAGGAGGCTTCCAAGAAAAGATTTAGGCATGACACATGCTGCCGTAATTGTTCGAGTGTGTTATGTGTGGATCAT